TGCCTTTCTCTTGATTTGTCCATATGGTTAAATAGAGCATAGGGGAGTTGAATGTGAAATGGAGCAACTGAATAATGGGCTAGTAATGTATGGGGAACTATTAATGAACCACTCATATTAGGGATATGGGGTGTGCGATAGACTTACCTCCACGTGGTGCACTCTGGGCAACGTATGATCATACGGCAAAAAAGTCTGTTAACTGGCGGTTGAATTATCACTTCAAACCAACATCACCCCGCTGTATGTCATATTCGACCTCTTCCACAGTACTCACCTCACCTTTTTTCTACCTTTGTGTCTGTCTCTTTTACATCTTTGAAACACTCTTCTGTCCCCCCCCTCTCAACTTTTTGTCACTTTAATGTTCCCTCCCCTCTGAGAAACCTGAAGTCAACTAAAGGGCTAATTCTTACTGGAGATGATCACTAATTGACAAGCTCCAACTGTGTACAATTCAAGAAAATTTTATTTGCGAATATTTCAATATTTAAGGGTTCCCGATGATTGTACCTCGATATGCAATCAAAATTAATTGTGTGTTTATAGTTTCATTATTACTTAACGCGTGATTGTTGTGATATTTTAAACTAGTTCGATTTATTAAACTTTGTGGCGGAGTACAGACAAATCGAATAATTACTTATGCACTTCTGTTTGAATGACGCTATACTCTCCTTTGTATCGTTTGTTAATGTTATAGTTAATGATATAATTGTTGTCATTACTAATGACAGGTGGAAGTACAATGAAAACAATAGCTTAGCTACTTTTAATGTGACATCCTAATTTTATCGAAAGTGAGTAGACTCTAGTGACCTTCCCAACCTTTTATACTGCATAAATGTACACAAGCGACATGACCGAACGTTTGACTTGATTAGCAGCAAAAAAAACATATTTTGAAGGTTGTTAATGTAATCTCACTAAGAAAATCTGGAATTAAATCCTTAAGGCAGAGATGTGGAACATTGTTGACAACGCATAGTGCACTCTTGGTCATATGAGAAAGTGGACTACACCGTCATTCCAGAATTCTAATATCATGAGACAATGGGCATGTTGCCTTTTTTGCATACTTCTTCTTCATGATCCTCCATTTCATTGCTTACTGGAGATTTTATCGATTGAATCTGCTTAGATTGCAATAAGGGCAATTATAATGTGTTTATTCGAGTTAATCTCATATGATGCATTGAAGTTAGCTAAAATTATATACCATATTTCTTTAATAATTGAGTCACTGTTGTATTTATAGGAATTGAAAGTTAATTAACCCTTTATTTGTAGAAAAAGGCATCCAATCGCACTCACACGTATCTCACCGCAGACAGATGCCGCCGACGAGATGAGTTTTGGTGGAGCATCAGGCGAAGGCTATGACATGTATTGAGCATGTTTTAAATGGCAATGGCACCTTCTGTTGCGTGTTCATTTTAAATTGAACTTATTTTGAAAGAGGACCGTGGGGTCGTAAGACCGTAAAAGGTTTAAAGAAAATGCTTATAAAGTTGTAAATGAGTTCCAAAATGAGAGTCATGTTTTCAATTAGTGGCAGATTAAAATAATACTTGCTATCTGCTCTGTAGACCAGAAGTCGAACTCACGCAAACTGCACCGTAGCAAGAAACACAGGCTCTTGTTTGAGCGATAATAGTCAAAGTAGTATTCTTTAGAAAAGGAGGCGGGGTAGGGAAGATTTTGAAGAGTGTGCCATTATTTTTCAAAATCTAGAATTATAGATTTGTAAATCGAAGTAAATTTATTCAGCTAAAATAATGAATTCACCTATAAATATGCCACCTAATTAAATAAGTTGACGCATTTGCATAAATAAGTCGATCCGTAGTCGTAAAATAGTGAAGAAGTATTTCTGAAGCACTAACTAGGATTTCCGCTCATTAAAATTAATAACGTTATGCTGAGTTGATGGTGATACTCGATTGGATGACCTTATACATTATTTAGGTGCTTTAATTCCCAAATCCCTCTGTCTCATATCGATATTCGAAAGCGTTCAGAATGACTGTGTTGTGTCCTCATTTCTCGTTCCACTTTAAAGGAATTAACAAATCACTCGTCAAATATGATTGTAAGTACATTCATACTGTCTGTATGTGCTTATTCTGCAACTGAATACATTTTGATACTAAATAGTCATTCTGATATTGCTATAATTATGCCTATTTGCGAGTTATTTATTTGAAAATTCTCTAAATCCTACCTTTGGTATCATAAGTTGATCATTAAACCTACAATATGCGATAGGTTTGAACCTGAATTTCTCAATTAAGCTCATGATTATATCCTCTTATATTTAGTTTAGATGATTTGAAAATTTGTTCTATTGTGAGTTTCTTCTGTTGTCTTACAACCTCTACCATTTTAATTGTGCTTTCTAACTTCTTCATTCAGTATGTTTAGTTTGATAAATCACCTACCTTTTGTTTATTTTTATGTTAGTTTGCCTCAAACATCTTACCTACACTATCTGTTTCACTTGTACAAAATTACACTCTCTGTTTATATTGTTCTTCCTATCTTGTAGTATCAACGGTCATAAATCAGTGAAGAGCATTAACCCATCTTTACATTGCCCCCCCCCATATCCAGGAACACTGTTATAAAATGATTTGGCATATTCACCCTCATTTAAACAGAAGTATTTGGCTCACCTGACCCACTACTTTCAAGTCCTTCATTGGAGAGTATTAGTTATACATTATTTTAGAGTACGAGGTGTGCGATAGGCGTACCTCCACGTGGTGCACCCTGGGCAACGTATACTCATATGGCAAAAAAGTCTATCACTCGGCAGGTGACTTCTGACTTCAAACTACCATGACCCTACTGTATGTCATATTCAATCACTTCCACCATACTTATCCTACCCTTTCTTTCCCTTTGTATCTGTCTGTCTTTTTAACATCTTTAAACACTCTTCTGTTCACCCCCCTTGACTTTTTTCGATTTGATGTTCCTCTTCCTCTGTGAAGCCTGAAGTCAACTTAAGGGCTAATGATAACTATCATAAAGCCTGCCATTTGATATAAATAATTTTAGAGTATTGATTAAGTTCGCGATTATTATCGCAATTCATTATCATTTATGGATCAAATTAAAAAAAAACAACATGCCTCGTGACCCAAGGTCGTTTGCCCACATGTGAAAAAAAGTTTATGAATTCATAATTTGGACATTAATTAATTAATTATCTGTTGTGGCCTGTGTTATACGTAGAGGAAGTGTTCCCTTGCCACTGTTCATAAATACTAATGACCACATGGAGTTGTGTACTGTAAATTAATTTCAGCTTGAGAAATCAGCTAATTTTTATAATAATAAGTTATCCCATCGCTTCTCACTATTAATGCTGCCATACCTACGGCACGAACTATTATGAATTTCTAATAATACTGGAAAAAAGAAAAGCAATTAAAAAAGCGGGATCTCCTTTGTTTTATCCATTTTTAGATTCGATTATATGTTTCTTTAATGAGTTCTGTGATCTTTATTTGAAATTAATGTGCAGTTCATTACTCCTGCAATGTTCACAAATTTCATTCTTATCAGTTATGGAATAGAAACGCCTAACAAAATCGGGTAAATTACTGGATGTAGCTCTCATATATACCTATTGCGAATACTATTACGGTCAGTAACCAAACGACCTCTTATTCATTGTGACCCCACGGCTTAAAGCGACGCAGGGATGAGTGTTAAAGAATTGGATGTTCCAATAGAGAAGGCTCAATCAAGAACTGTGACCTGGAGGCTGATACGTATGCATTCTAAGCCAGAGACCTTGAAATTGAGGTGATATAGTGGCCTTCGCTCCATCCACATCGTAGGTAGGCAGCAATTTCTCAAAAGTGAATCACAGTTGCACAACTAGTCGAAGCTTACATATAATAATCTGGAAGAGATCATAAAAGCTTTAAGTTTGTGGAAACTTCCCTACACTTTCGATTAAATGAAACGAAAATTAACCAACATGGTTTGCATTTTCATAGTCACCTCCAATTTGGTTTATAGGTGAAAGTAGTCGGCACCCTTTTGATCGAAATCTGCGTAGTCAAGGTCACAGCTTAGTGTCTACCAGATTACTTATAAAAATCCCGTCAAAATTTGTAAAGGCGCAAACTTTTGTTTGTCAATGCTCTTTTAATAAATAAATGTTAATTTAATAGCATTTATATAATTTGCACTTCATAATTAGAAAAGCAACATGGCAACAGGATCAAGTGTATTGAATTAATTAATTTCATTAACAATGGACAGAAGAAAGAACCATCTAAACGATTTTCGCACTTGACAAACATTTGCTTCAAATTATCTGCAGCATTTCAGATCAGATTATTACGACTCCGCGTTTCCTTTGATTATTAAAATTCTTAGGGGAGGCAAACCCAAGCTCACATTTATTATGGTAACTATTTACGTCTTAGATGTTTGCCCACATATTGGGCACACGAGAGCAGGTCGCTCGCATACAACAGATTTGGGAGTAAATAACCTTCAGGAAAGCGTGGTCAAATGCATGCTCCCATACGCGCATATGCACGCACCCAAGGAGCGGCGTGAAATCAACCGGCCACGGCAGCCGCTAGAGCATATTGGAAGAATAGAGTTACAGACACACCGTCATTGAACAGACTCACACACACACACACTCACTCACCCGCTCAGTGATAAGCGCAGCCATGTGCGCACTAGGACAACTAGGTGAGTGAAGCTTTTCTCACAATACTCACGTCTCCTAAGGCCTTATGCGTTTTACTGTGCTATCTTTTGCCTCCCCAGGAGCGTGTGTTCGCTCACCCACTGCTACTACTATAACCACTGCGGTAACTGCTGCTCCTGCTGCTGCTTCTGGTGTTACAGCTTTTACAACTCTTCCAAAATCAAACTCGCCTCACACTAAAATCTTTCTGTGTGCGAATTTCTCAGGTATTTGTGAGCATTGAGAACTGCAAACGGATTTACCTGGAGTTACTTCCCTTCCCTATTTCCACTACACACATTCAGGCATGTAACTACTTCACTTGAGGATGCATAAATTACCAGTCGGATTCTTAGCAGTCGTTTTACTGATCTCATTATTTCTTTCTTTCACATTGGCCTCATACTGTTCTTACAAAACCAGTCTGAATCTAGCGGCTACTTGTGGGACGCTATTCATATATACACCGCCTGCCAATTCTACAGCAAGTTGCCTTGTTATGAGTTTATGATGATTAATTTGCTTCCTGTACTTTTATTTAAACCCTCTAATAATTTCTCAAGTCAAACGGACACTTGTGAACTAAGCAGGATTCTTTTGTTTTCAAAACAAGTCAAGTGGACATTTATTAAATCATCGCTTTGCAATTCCCCTAGAGAATGGACAAACCTTTTACTACAGTACTGTGTCTACTCAGATAGAATCACTTCTTGTCTAATAAGATTATATGAATGACCACCTTTCTTTGGCGATTAATTATTCGAATAGATTTATTTCTATTGCAAAAAATTAATTTCAGACTTCAATGAATTCCTTGGGAATTCATTGGCTTTTAAAACCTATTTCGGCAACTTCCATTAGACATTTGGATTGCCATTTGCGACTGTTTAGTCATATAGCAATAAACACAGAAACAATTGGAACTTAAACAATCCCCCTATTTTTCCAAATTTTATAATAAATTACAAAATCATTTAAACGCATGATAATTTCAAACGAATGCATATGGGGATTATGCATCAATTTTCCGCTTGAAAAAGTTGGGAATCCTCTTAAGGCGGAACAATTTTGGCTTTAAAAGATTGTTTTTTTAACAAACTGTGCTTCATGTAAGGAGGTTGAAATAAATCTAGACAGTTAGGTGCTTATTTGGCAAAAGGGGGCAATGTCAACTCGAGAAGTAGTATTCCTCCTTAAATAAGCCTAAAATTCTCTTGCTTTTCACTAGCTACGCTGTTAATATAACACGTTCATTATATCCTTTTTAATGTTGTTACATTGAAAGGAAAAGATAAAAAATTTATTAAACACTGGCCAATCAGCCAAATGCCCAATTTCCATTTTCCTATGCTTTATAGATTGTTGTCATAATTGTTTTCATTCGCTATCCAGGCCTCTTATTCCCTCTGGATTTACTTTTGTAAGAGAGCAAAGAGACTAATCTGCTTGGACCTTTACAATCACTTAAACGCGTGGCCGTATACCTCATAAAAAAGGAAGTTTAACCAGTTTTGAGAAACAAGAGGGTTTGTTGTGTGAGCTTATTTCATCACATTAATTTAAATTAAATCAATGAAAACTCCAATTATAGTGGTGGTAGTTACCCCCCCCCTCCCCCCACTCCCCCTACTTTTAGTGTAAATTAAGGTAGAATTGAAGTGAGATGCCATATTGGAATATTTCACAGTACTCACCCCACCTTTGTTCTACCTTTGTGTTTGTCTATTACATTTTTGAAAAACTCTTCCTTTCCCTTCCCCCTGTCGACATTTTCAGTTTGATGTTTCTTCCCCTCTGTGAAGCCTGAAGTCAACTAAAGGGCTAATGATAACCATCAGGTCGCCTGCATTTGATATAAATAAATAAAGGTAGAATTGCAATTTCAAATGAGGTCTCATGAGTCATTGGGATCATAAAGGAAGATGCAAATTTTTTTTTACACTTGCTTATAGGATTGTTATTTTCTTTGAGATTATTGTTCCATTCGCAAAATGCTATCAGCAGCTGACATCCCATAGGAACATAGTATTTAATTCTGTTATATAAAGTGAGATGGCCAACTTTGAAGAGTTTTCTGTTATTAAAAGGGATCAATATTGTGAACTAGTTGTAGGGAGTGCAATTCGCTTAGCGATAAGAGAATTAAGACTAACTTGTCTCTAATAGTACTCATCATGTGGCCAGGTGTTTGGGTCTGAGGACGTCAAATTTATCTACTTGGAAGTGATGATCTTGAAAAAAAGATAGCAAAATTTGCCTGTTTTCGTTTTTGCAGATATTTTTTTACTATTATTTCATTGTGAAATGAGCTATTTTTATAAAATGAATTCGCTCTGAATAATGTGATGAATTTCCATTACCATTGGTAATCATATACTGACTCATAAATTGGAGATACTTTGATGCGTGCTTTTATTGGTATTTGCCTATTGGAGTGTCATTGAATTTTGTTTTAGATCATATCCCCACTTCCGTCATGGTTGATGACTATTCACTTCAAAAATGATCATTCTTTCTCTTTGATTGGCCTTCCATTCCTGCTCGACGGAGTTCAAGGCAGTTCATCCGTTCTAATCCGCAATTCCCGATCTGAGTGTATATCAGTGTACATCACCCTGACAAAGCTTCCAGAAGAGCCACCAACATTCTCCTGTCGGCACAATCATTCAATTATAGCGATGATTCAAATAGGTTTGGGTAAAAATTCGGGCCATTTACAGTCGGCGTCGAAACGAATTGATATTTGGCGCAATTTAAAGACGCAAATGGTGGGAAAAAAATTACCTGACAGTCATTTAAATTTGGAATTAGAACACGCGTTTCTTGTGGAGAGTAAACCAAATTTCTTAAGGTACGTTTATTAACAGTTTTGGATGGATAAATAATTTTATTTTAGATATTGATTAAAAAGGTTAAACAACCAAGATAATGTATATAATTATTGCTTTAGGTACCTAGCTTTAGTTATAAATTATTAATCTGCCAATAAAAGGTGGACTTCTCTCTTTTTTATACACACTAAAATTTTATTGACTAATTGTTGAAATTAAAATTTCAGGATTTTTGGCTTGTTTCCCTCTTTAAACCAATCTTTAGTCCAATTTGTCAGAGTTGAAACAGCTCGATTGGTACTGGGGTTAGCATGATAGTACTTTAGAAATCAGTTTGTAAAAATATTGATCTGTTTCATGTGTTGAATTTAATTTACATACTTCTATCCATTGCCGGTCAAAATATGCTCTATTCATTTAAAATCAGAAACACTTTGAATGTACGCAACCATTTTTCTACACACTTACCAGTTCATTTTATTAATTGGAGTTTACGTTAACGATGAATAAGTTCCATAGTATGATAATGAAATTTCACTATATAATAGTTTTCGCGATATTAGGTTGAAAATATCATGCATTACCTTACGCTTAATTAAATAGTTTGCATCATTCCCATACGATCATTTAAAATAATAATAGCCCATCTGATAGTTTCTCCAACACAATTATAGTTTTGAACAAATGCCTAGGTTTTCCTCATAATAACTTGCATGCACAGCCCGATGTGAATCAGAATGAATGTCTACAATACGTTCTGAAATAAGATTTAAAAAAATAACTTTAGAGGTAATGAATAGAGTGCGGTGATGAAACGCAGTTATATTAATGACTTAAACACTCGAACTGAGAAGGTCGTTTGACATCTTGAGGTCAGATCGTATTTCATTAGTTGCTTCAAATGGATTCGAAAACGTGATGTGGTATTACAAATCTTTCTACTCCCAAAGCATAAGCCGCTTTGCATGTTTACACATTTAAAACCGATTATTAATTAATTATCTTATTTATAATAATCATCTTAAGAAATTGCATGCAATAATGATTTCAGTTTCCTCTATTTTTAGTGCTCTCTTTGTTCTGGCACAAGCAAATCGCGAAAACAGAAAATCATTCACTCCCAATGAGGATTCTATAAAATCTTTGTTCTTCATCTGGAAAATTGGATGCAGTTACCTAGACGACAATGCCCTGCAGGTCCTTTCGAAGATTGAGAACAGATTTAAGGAAAATTCGTCCATCGCGGAGTGGTTGGGATCAAGAGATTTACTAGATGAAGCTAAACTTCTAGACTGGGTGGTCGGTGAATATAAACCACTTCCAAAGTCTCGCGTTAAAAGACAAGCTCTTCAAGGCTATCAACCTATTTATCCCTCGCGTACGGCAGGCGCTGTTTCCGAAGCCTCAGGATTATCACCCACAGATATTCGACAACCTAAATATCCGATTGCAAAGCCAAATGCTGCAATTTTGGTTCAACCAGTTTTGCCAATTGAAATAACCGTTCAACAGATCTCAAACTTTCAGATTCCACCAAACACATTTCGTTCCCTTGATGGAAGTAGACTTCAACTTCGATTATTTGAACATATTTATCCAATGCAATTCGGAATCGATTTTAAGGATCCTTCAGCAGCAACAGGCCGTGAGATCATAAGTGATAGTTCAAGCTGGATTTCCTTCGATTCAACAACTGAGATTTTGCGACTTCGTCCATTTCTAGAGCACGAAGGAACGCATAAATTTGTTCTCTGCGCTTATAATATGCTTAATAGTCGTACATGCAGTAGGTTTGCAATTTAAATTTAATAATTTTAAAGTGACGCTGATTAAAACATAGGTCTCTGAGATATCGAATAAAAATGGGTTATCTATGCCACGTAGTAGGACATACATAGTCATTAGATTATAGGGATAAAATGATATGCATCTGACAATCTACATCATCTTTGAATTTCAAGTTAAAATGTATCAACTCACTGATTTGGAAGCTTAAGAAAAATGTGAATAAATGAAAGACTGATAAGGTAGAATGTCGCTTTTAAAAGTTAACTGCATCAAACATATCGGTAACTTTTCATTTTGCCTTTATTTAAATGAATTTCACACACTTAATGAAAGCAAAACGCAGTTTCGCCAATTTGAATAGATGTTTGTGGTTTTGGCGAGAGTTAGAACCAAATTTTCATGAAATTGAAGGTCACTCGTTTAAAATAACAATGTCAAGTTGTCTCAGATTTCCTGAGGGGTTACTTTGGATTGCGTTTGACAAGTTCTATATTTTTTAAATAGTGTCTTTCACAGGTCAATGCTCTGTTTATTTTATTGTTGAAATTGATAAATTTATAATTGCTGCATACAATTTCTAGTTTGATTAACTATTGGAATAATTTTTTGTTTAGTTCCAAAAGCATCTGAAATGCTTCTAAATTTATTATTTCATCATTGCATAGAAATTGATTATATATTTTTAAAATGTTAGAACGAAAGCTGTGATATATTTCGAAAATTTATGCACAAAATTAAATAGTTTGTCTTTCAATTAAATATTAAAGAGGGGTATTTGAAATATGAATTTTTTATCAGAGATTTAATTTACCATTCAGCCATAGCCTAGCCAGTAAGAAAAATTCAATCTTCCACTGCATATATAACATTTTTAAATAATTGCAATAATCAAACTCCTATATCTACAACTGATACATTACGGTGTTGTGCGAAGCCTGAGACGAATTGAGACACGAATAAGCCTTAACAAACCCCAGGAACCTCTATGGAAATTAACCCAGATATGTCAATAGCATTGAGGAAACAGGGTGTTTGACGTGAAGAGCAATTATTGTGTATATGTGCTACGGGTACAGAGCTTAGTCGTTGAAATATCATGAAGGATTTGTCCCAAATGCAGGGATTATTGATTGGTAGTTGGTTGTGAGACCTCTGATCACATGACCAGACATGCTCCTTTGTTTCAATTGGAGTGTACGTGATATTTCTTTGTTCAGCCCGGGCAGCGTTATGCACTCCGCAGTCCACAAGGTTCTAATTTTAAAAAAATTTGACAATTAAGGCTTATTTCTTAAAAAAATGCCCTTGAAAATTTAACTTCCTCATTATTTACCAAATCAAATTACCATTTCAGCATAAAAATTCTATTTTGGTAATTAAGTGGTATATATTAGAGCAATTTTATGTTGACTATGTGTGCTATTCTCAATTTCCACTGGTACATTTTGTGTGGCATTGATTAGAAAAATTGTTTTTTTCAGGTTTCAGTGAACACCTATTTTCCTAACATGCAATTAAAGAAGGAACATGTAAAACACACTTTTTGTTACAATTTATACAATTGAAACAAATTTCCTGTCAGGTATAGCTTAAAATAAAATTTTGAGTAAGGCAAAGTTTTAATTTAAGGTTTAGGATAAAATTTATTTCATCTCTCAATACTTTTTAATGTTTAAGGTACTTAGTTTCATTTGTGGTGCAAGGAGATGTCTCAGAAATCACTAGAGTGAACAAGTTTTGAGCAATCACAATTTTTTACATTACTTTAATTACAGTGGAATATGTGGAGAGACTTGGGGAGTTTTATCATATGCGTGCCATCGTGTCTCGAATTAATAAATCTGTTGACTAGATGATTACAAGCTCCACACCAAATATATGGCTGAGAAATTTTTTATTGATCAGTGTACACAAGGAAAATCTCAGATTCGCGCAGTGATGAGATTACAAACAGGCTAGTTCAAGGTGTTTCGATCGATGCCTCAATTCAAAAGACATTAAAAGTTCTTTATTATGCATTTGCAAATTAAGTTGACGCGTTGCATGAATGATGCCAATTCATAATGAGTTAACCTTAAATAATTGCCTCATTTTACTTGTCGTTTTAAGTTTTACACTGACAGAGATAAATTTTTAAAACAATTTTAACTTTTCTTGCGTTACAGCCAACATTAACGTACGAGTGAAACCACCGATGCCAATTAAGAAGAGCTTCGCCGTTAATGTAGCACCAGGTATGTGCCTTTCATCTTTATCATTAAAATAATATTTCCTCCTTTAGTTCAACGGAATTAGGTTTGTTTTCACAAACGTTTCAATCATAGTATTATTATTTTGTTTAGGCAAATATTTGATGCAGCTAATATAAGAAAAATAAGAATCAAAATGTGGACAGGTGGTGAAATGAAAATACTTTGGTCTTAATTAAATTAAAATTCTTCCATACAATATTTATTTATTTATATCAAATGGCAGGCGTTTTGACGGTTATCATTAGCCCTTTAGTTGACTTCAGACTTCGCAGAGGAGAAGGAACATCAAAGTGAAAGAAAGTCGAGAGGGGGGTGGGGTTGGGGAAAAAGAAGAGTGTTTTAAAGGCGAAGGTAGAACAGGTGGAAAAAGGTGAGGTGGGTACTGTGGAGGTAATCGTATATGACATACAGTGGGGTGATGGTAGTTTGAAGTCTGAAGTCAACTGCCGAATAATAGACTTTTTTGCGGTATGAGTATACGTTGCCTAGGGTGCACCACGTGGAGGTAAGTCTATCGCACACCCCATATAATATAAGAGTATATATAATGAGATTATTGCTTTTTTGTTGTATGAGATTTGGTTTTTTGGTTATAGCTGATTGTTACACGACTAAACCTTGACATATATTCATCAATATCTTTGGCCAAGTATCCAAGCCCAGATAGACTCCTGAAATGCGTCAAGTTATCTCAATAATTTAGAAGAAGCAGACGAATATAGCGAGTGTAGTGATTAGTGAAATTATGCCCATGGAAATTATGACTAATAATTTAATAAAGTTAACATAGCTTCTCAGCACACGCGGCAGCTCCCTCCAGAATATTCCGATGTGCATGAGATTACTTAATTTATTCGAGTCAGGTATGAGTACTCCACATGTTAATCTTTTCCATCAATTATAAAATTTTTCGCCTTCATGACCTCCTTTAATTTTCTTGCAATTTTTTCCGACATTCCATAATGTTTCGACGATGAATTTGGTTGAAATTGGCCGTTTTACCTACTTTTTGAAGTATAGCACGACATATTCTAGCTTAAATAGTTTTTCACACGCCCAAAGTAGAGATAGCCTATATTTGAAAATAAATCAGTTGAAGGGTGCCCAGTATCTGATTGTTAAATTAAAATCTCAGAAAGCTAAGAATTCGACTGATCATCTTATATAAAAACATTTAAAAGCATGTAGATAAGTGAACGTTAGTTTGTTTAAATAGAAATACAACCACTTTTCACTACACTTCTAATTGAGTAGGCTGAAAATATTGACAACAAGCGAGTAAGAGCGCCGATGTCAAGGTAACGTTGCAAAAGTAGCATTGAATTGTCTTGGCACATGAATTTCTCGCAAAACTTTGATTGACAAACCTTGGAGTAACTAAAATTACACTTCCTTTGGCAAAGGCGCTGAATTTTGTCCCATGACAGACAACTTAGCATTGAAACAGTTCAGCATAGATTATATGAACGTCTATTTTAGCTAAGGCATATCTAAATTCTAATTAATTTAAGTGACTGCTCTAGCACTTCTGAAAAATATGTAATACGTTGTTTAATATATGATAATATGTATACATGTAAGTTACTAATAACTATTAAATCTTAACCACAGCGATTTTGAATATCTTTACTTTTTGGGCTGGGGTGTGCGATAGACTTACCTCCACGTGGTGCACCCTGGGCAACGTATACGCATACGGCAAAAAAGTCTATTAACCGGCAGTTGACCTACGACATCAAACTACCATCATCCACTTTGATGTTCCTTCCCCTCTGTGAAACCTGAAGTCAACTAAAGGGCAAATGCTAACCATCAAGCCGCCTGCCATTTGATATAATAATAATAATAACTTTTTGGGCTGTATATTAATGAAGGCATCACATATTTAAAGATTAAGTTTTGAGTCTAAATGTATTACCGAAATCATTCTAAATTTTTTTCCGATAAATCGACTTAGAACAATGACTTTGAGTATGAAATTTTGGGCGAGTGGAATATTATGTCTCATTGCCCATTGTTTACTAAAATAGCTAAGTACATCTCGCAGAAATCTTATTACTTTACTTCTTTTTAAATTAGATTACATTATTCAGTTATGCTAATCTAACCATGAGTAAAGATTTAGAAATTTACCGAATTCCATAGAAAAGTAAATATTAGTTCTCTTCCTCAGAACTTGAGGCAAGCGTCAATGCCTGCGTCCGAAAAATAACCTTCTGGAATAGCCAATTGAAATTAAAATGCCAAAGCGAAGGGAAACTGTGCGCCCACAATAACTGAACAAAAGTGCAAGTGAAGGGTTATATAACTGAGAATAAAATTAGAAGTGGACGTGCTTTCTCATTTAACTATAATTCAATAAAGACTTTCGGCTTTTAATTGCTTACCAAAAGTCTATTTTTTCCTAAATCCTCTTTAGAGGATATGTTTGCCAAATTATTCAGTTCAAATAATAAATAATTTTGTCATACATTTAGTAGTAGATATGCATACTTGGAGGATATAATAGCCAAGATATTAATATTGCAGTCATTGAAATTTTAAAATTTCAGATTTGCGGTTTACCTTTCAATTTCATAACAATCAGTACCAATTAATCTTCATGATCATGCATTAAGGAATTAAGAGTTGCCTTCATTTACAACTCATCTTTGAAGACATAAGCTTTGCATATCGTCGTTTCGTGGATGTAGGTTCTTGAGTATTTTTGGAGGAATAGTTTTCATAAACAACGATAGGTGACTGGATACTAAACAATCAACATGTGATTGGATTGTTTTTCAATATTTCAGCCTGGGGAAACTGATTGTTTAGCTGGGCGTAAAACAACTGATAATTATTAGTAGCTGTGCATCTTTTAAAATTTAATATAATAGGTAGGGAAAGTGTTTATTGAAATTATCAGGATGTTTAATATTGAAATTTTTACTAGTGCTTCCTATTATCAATTTTAATCCGCATAAGTGGTTTATGTTACAATTCTACAGTTATTAAATAGCTTGAGGGTATTATCCTTCCACCTGGGGGCGTGAGGATGTTGAATGGGCAACCTTGCATCTCTCTACGAACCTAAAGCCTAATATAATTTGTATTTTGTAGGTATATACTGGTGTTATACAATTCCTCTCTACTGGTTTGATGAGCTCAAAGTTCATTCGATTGCTGATGTGGAGTTTCATGTAACTGGTACGTTATTATTTTATTTTACAAATGATTTCCAATAGGAAAAATTTCCATTTTGACTGGGACTTTGTTCTTATTAAGTCAATTTCCTCTATTTAATAAAGAGATTATTTAATTTTTTAGCAGAAAAATAAAAGGTATCATTAAGAATAATAATAATAACGGGATTTTCAATTTTATTTACTTATATTTTGAAACATTATTGTGTCATTAGGTTAGCTATTAATAATTGAAACCATAATGGATCAGAAATTCTGATGTTGTACGTTTCTGTTCTAATTTTCGTGATCAACTTTATTTAGATTTATTTCAAGCCGTTTAAAATAATATTGGAGTTTACCTTTGGAATTTAGGGATATTTGAGTGCTTTAATGCATGCCAATGAAATTCTAATACAACATGCCGTAATTGATGGTAGGTGGCTTGTATGCAAACCATTTAATGAAAACCTAATCTCCAGTGAGTGGAGCTATTTTAAGGACTGCGCCGATAATATCGCTCCGTTTCAACTATGGCGTGAATTAGCTATTTTATTAATAGTCACTTTGCAATGAAAAAAGTGAATAAACGTTTATTTTGATTAAAAAAATTCCAATCGTGTTAAATGGGCAATTGTAAACTGAATGCCTATTTATTGACACTAATTCTTCGTTATATTATTTGTTAACTACTTACTCAACTAATCAGTTATAATATTATCAGAACACTTCGGGGCATAATAATTTGTTTCAACTTAGTGATTTTGACCTTTAGTCTCATAGACGAGAAACATATAAGATTTCTCACTTTTTATAAGCACTCATTGTAGTGCAGCAAGATATCGTTTCAAGATAAATTAGATAACTAGTTCACAATTACGATAGGATTGTTTCGATTGATTGCGGCAAGCAATATTTATAGGGAGGTTATGGCGTAATTTGGAATGAAGTCATTAAGCTTTGAAGATGAAATATAACGAGTACCAACCCGCCTGCATTTTAAAATACCGCTTTTGACATTCTCAAAAGCGTAGTATTATTTATTAATTCACCAATCGATTAAACTTTACAACCCCAGTAAAATGAAGAATGCATTTAAAATTTTAATGCCATGCGTTGACACTCAGGTTTTTTTTGTTTTGCTGAGCAAATTTATCAGTTGAATTATAGGCAATCACTTTAAATGAAAAGAAACGACTTGGCGTATAGGTAAAGTGAACTCGTTATAGTAGCACTATTTTTCTCTTTGTCAAGGCAAGTACCAACCGAAAAACACAATTCAGTGTTTACTTCAGGTTAACCATACATTCATTATACAATGAGGCAAATTACGAAATATATATGAAGCTTACGTGACTTTGCACGAACTGAAAGCATTAAAGTTTCTCCTCTAACTGTCAAGCCAGTACTGTAAAGCTCCACTGTTAAAATTTGGAGTATTACCATATTTTCATTTCGATGTAACTCAGCATTAAACGATCTGCGGAACTGAAATCAATCTGCAATAATTTAATTAATACCATTGAGGAGCCAATATTGATTATTTTAAATAAATATCTCATCCAGATGCATTTAAAATGCTTCTTTTCTAACGTCTTGCCAAGGGGATTGTTTGATACGGCTCAAATAATCAGATTCCACAGACATGGACTAAATCAAACCAACCAGATCTAGCAACCGGAAAAATGAGGGTATTTTATTGAAGCAATAAGTATTGAATCTGACCCGATAATGATTGGCTAAGTAAAAGAGAACCAATTAACGATTAATTGAGAGGAACATTATTAGCTAGATAATGGGTTGAAAGATAAAGAAGGGTTAAGTGGATTATGTAGTGACCATCCTTGGTATTGAAGTAGATGAAATGAAGCTGCTCTCGTGGTGGACCTTTTCGTAGATCTCTAAATACTTCCATCAAATGTTTTGATTGTTAAAAAAATTGAAGCGATTTTTTTAGGGGAAAGCTTTTCTTGGGATGCTGTTAAGGGCGAAATCTGCATCATCACCACATTGCGAAGGGAAGAAATCATGGTATTTTTGTAAGCGAACTCTTCCATTTGAACAGATACTGCAGCATTTGGGCAAAAAAATGTTTTAACAACACTTTATTTAATTACCAGCTTCCGTGCAGTGCACAGAGTCACGGCGGAAACTGTTGAAATTGAATTGAGAGTAGCTGTAAAAGTTCCACCTGAAGAAAAGCTTATATCAAGCCCACGATTTCGACTTCGTCTACGGTGGATGCATACATACAACAACTATGAAATGCTTGAAATTGCACGTCTCAACTTAAGTTTGACGCAGGCTCTACGCGTTCGTGTGAATCCAAGTGTCATTTCCCAAAATTTGTTCATATATGATGTAAGTTAGCATTTTGTTGCCTCTGTTCATACCTATGTAAAAATCCTTTTACTAATTTTGATCAGAGCAAAGATACTTGGAATGGAAAGTCATCAAATAACCCCATAAAGCATTAAACGTGAGGAGTGCAAGAAATAGCTAATTAAATTTTGAAACCAGTAAAATTGCATATTATAACTTGTTCAGTTGCAATCTGCATTAAATTAGAAATATTTGAACTCATTTGAGGGGGATGAAGGTGTTAAAGGCCACGATAATGAAGGTAAATATACCTGTAGGGAACTGTGGTTCTACATTTAACAATGGGAGATTGATTGACTCATATTAGAATCAATAAGTTAATTGCTGATTATCCTTTATTCACAAAGACCGTACTCTTAAATTGATTTATTCTTCATTCATTTGAATCACCAGACTTCGTGTTCTGAAGTGGGTTAGTGTTAAGTAACTTCGTTCATCTTTTAGAAAAGAAGAGAAGGAGTGAGAACGGAAGTTTAATTGAGAAATAATCAAAGTAAAATTGTATCGCTTAATACAATTTCGTTTGTCTCAAAGCGTTTAGTCTGCATTCATAATGGCATATTAATTTGATAAAACATAACTAACTAGAAGATCTGTTTCGTAGTGTTTGCACTGTCAATAAAATTAATTTAATTTATACTGTTTTATAATTGCGTTTAGTAATTCAAAGCTATGTAATTGCTATGTGTGAATGTGTGCTTGAAAGATGTAATGGTTCAATTTAAAAATAATTTGCAGATTTCAAGAATTCAAATCTAAAGTCTAAGATCATGAGTTGAATTTTGAAACTGTCAGATTACCCACTCCCTTCTTGAAAGGGACTTTTCATTGCATTATACTCATGCATTTGATCTTAAAAATGCTAATATATTTTTCCTCTTCTCATGAGTGATAAACCATTTACTAAAGTTTATTTTATTTAGCATCCCATCTCAATGGGTATAACATTTCTGTTGAGTCATGACACAACAGTACCTACTGTCCAATTTCATGCATTCAGTAGCAAGATTCTCTTTTGCAACTTTATAGCTTTTAATAAGCAATGGGGTTTAGTAATAGGCATTCGTTTAACCAATGCTTCGAAGACCACAGAAGCATGAGACACCTGATACCATCTTTCGAACTGTCAAAAAATCTAACGCAGGTCACTAGGTATTCTTTTCCTGTGATGGTGAACTGAAAATCATCAATTAATTGATTGTATTCAAATAGCAAAGATTTTTTAAGCTGTAATACTTTATAATACGTACAGTGAGGCTTTCTAGAACACGATTAACGGTTTTTGCAATTTTTCACGTGTTCTTTATAATAATGCTGATGCATACAATTTAATTTAAGAGAATAATATTGTGTTTAAGACAACAGATTTCAAAAATAATTTTCACATATTTACAAGTAAATGCAACATTTTTTCCCATTTTATTGCCAAAGCTATTTACGAATGGACATTTCACCGTATGTGCATTTGGTAAAATTAATTTCCGATCATTATCTGCATTTTTGTATGCGCGCGCAATATATTTTGATAAAACAAAAAAATATGTTTTAGATCTTTTGCTTAAATAAAGCAATAACCTATGCGTTTTTGGGGGAAAACCCTAGTATTTGCAAACATTTTTAAACAGGAAGAGTAAAATCAATTAACGAATCGATAAAATCATAAGCTCCCTAGATACGTTGATAAACTGCTATGGTGGAGAGGCATTTTAGCCATCTCTAATGAATTAACCACCACTCTGTTAAGTAAATTTTTTTAAGATACAATGAATAAAGTTATATTTTTCCATTACTATAGGTCCTACAAATAAGAAAATTTCAAGAAAAAGACAGCTCGCGTAAGGAGCATTTTAAAAAGTTACCATTCACATAATTGTCAATACTTTTCATTAATGGTTAGTTCTTTTAGCTTTATCAAAGTTATTGGAGATTGAATTCATCTACCTTCCACTAAATATTCCCAATCCCGGTTCAGCAAGTTATTTGAATATTTTAAATGATCATAGCAGCGGTAATTATTGGGCCAGCGGGGTTCCCTATGGCATGTCTGCAGAGAGCAAACAATTGTATCAACTGAAGGGCATCTGTGAAAATGCTCGACTTAGTGGAGCCGTGAGTGCAATCCAAGCAGCTGCGGAATCCTTTAGACCTTTTTTGCTGGAGAGTATAGCCGAATTAGACCTACCTGACAGTGCGTGCTCAAAGATTCTTCAGATGTTTGGCGGCACAATGGATTCAAATAGGATCTATCCACCACCATTGACAACAAGTTGGTTATGTGATATGAAATATTTATGTTTGCACTAGATAGTATTAGCAAACATTTTAAATAGTAAAGAACTACGTTTATCTTTAACTATCACAATGATAGTGATGGAATAAGCAATGAGGCTCCAATTTTAACAAATATGTAAAAATATTACTCAAGAAAGTTAGCATTTGAAGACATATTTCAAAACTAGTGATCTTTCTGAAAGGTAAGATTCTATAGAAACCTTACCCCAAGTGAGAAAATCAGACATTAAGTTGGACAAATGGGTATTGTGAAACAATCGTATTGATACTTAATATAAAGTTTCACTTGAAATATAATCTTATTCTTCTCACTGTCATGGTACTATCTCCACACATATTCTTTTATAAGGAACTAAATCGAAATACTTCGAATACAACCCTATTGTCTTCTTTTTCTTACTTCAAGATCTGTACACTTTATTTTTTCATTATGAAGTGATTTTGGGTTACTTATGTGCTTTGGCAGATGAACATCTGTTATTAATAGTCTAGAAATATCTGCAATTGTCACAAACTTTAATTTCATGGTTAGGATTGAAGAAACTTTCCACTCTAATCAAAGACAGGCTAATTATTGCCACTTTTTGAAGCCGTAAACAGCGTGAATTATTTAAAAAAAAGGCGATGCAAAAAATAATCAGTTGTTGCTCTAATCGAACAAATACGCTTTTGCCTAAACCAGCTTTTCACTATAACAATTAGAAGTTGGATACTGTTTCCGCCAATTACTCGTAAAGAACAGTGATCGGCTCGGTAGTGTAAGATGATTTCTTTCGGTTACGCCAACATTTCCAAACACTTAAAAGCTTTCAAATGGACCGTTATGTTTCAAATTCTATGAGGAAGTATTTTTAAACTGCAACAGAAATTTGCTTTTGCCTGTTTTAGTTAATAAGCACTCTTTTCATGGAGAAAGCTGCCTTTTTATCCAGGCAGCTTTGTCTTAAACCCGACTTTGTGCGTTCTTATGGTTCTTTTTTGAGGAAAGGTGACTCAATTAAAGCTTTGGGATAAGAGAAATGGGAAAAAATCACAATAGCCTAAAGGTGAAATCTTCATATTCGAAGCTATCTTGCGGTGTTCTTAAGATGAATTTGTTAAATGATTGAGTGAGAGCAAGATCCTAAGATCGGCACTCTAACAATATTAAGAAGAGCATTGCGCTTGGTGCTGTTAACTGCCGTTACTGCTCTAAAAAGGCATTATTTGAGATTTACTATTCATTTTTCGTATAAGGAGGAGAATAAATTAACAAGCGAAACCAATATTTTCCATTGCGAATTAAAATTTCCATGTATAACTTACGAATCATCTTAAAAATTTTGCGAAGTTAATTTCCTTATCTATTATTTTGAACCAATTTATTCAAAGTGATTAGGAAATGTTTCTTTGAACCCAATCAACTCAAACCCAAAGAGAATATCACAGATGAGTGACTTCCATCTTTTCTTTGAAATTCATTGTCTGAATGGAGTATTGAGCTGTTTAGCATATTTGAAATATTGAAAATATTAACAAAATAGAAAGGAAAATATTTTTGCGTTTTTATTTTAATACAAAAATAGATTTTTATATTCTGTTTGAATTTTTTAAATAGATTAACTTACTAGTTAATGCACAAATGGAAACTTACAAATTTTGCTTTCAAAAAATAGTAGGAATTATACTCAGAGTGTTAAAAATGCTTAAAAATTAATCCAAATGAACCCTTTAATTTCATTTTTGAGTTGGTTAATAACCTTTCATGAACAAGAGTTATTCAAGATCAACAAATATAGACCAATAAAGTTGTATGCTCTTCCAACTTGACGAAGTGGTTGACTTTCGTAAACCTCTTGATTAGAAGAATAATGTGCGTCTTCCGCCACCGAATTTTGCTGAAACTAGGGATATTCAATATATTTCTTGCTAGGCTATGAGATGTAGCTTACCAAATTCTGACCGGAAATTCTGTAGTTGGATGTTAAAATATATTACTTGCAAGCCTTTCCTGTTCATGAAAAAAGCACTTGCACCAATCGCAGTAACTCTTAAACTTCTCGCATTCTATAAGGAGATAAAATTGTATAAAAGTTTTACGAAGCAGGAGAATAATCACGCAAGCTATTTCCAATTTACCTCAATTTGCTTGAATAATTAATTCAATCCACTTAGGTCCACTGCAAAAAAAACTACACTGGAGGCCCAGCATTCCTACATTTTAATTAAGAGGAAGATTAAATTGTTATTTAATTATTTATACTGAGAATGCATTGTTTCATTTAAATGATTAGCAATAACATAGCAAAATAATAGTTTAATATCTTTGTTTAAACATTGAAGACACGGTTTCCTAATAACATTTGCATATGCAAAAAAGGAAACTTTTATTCTTTTTCCACTTGCTGTATTTGCAACTAATAAGTAAAATTTTTCTCATTGATATGTGCGTATAACTCTGTTTTTTTAATAACTTTAGCAAACATCCCCTACTCGGACCAAGTGATTGAAAATTTCACGGTGGAGGCTGGACTGGCATTCAGAAAACGGATAAATCCAAGCAGAGTGGTGCCGATGAATAGAATAAGGTCTCTTGAAATAATCGATGAAAGTAAGCCTATGCCTATTCAAATGCCCAAAACAGTGAACTTAATTAATTTTTCTATTATTAAATTACTCTCAATTACTTGCAGTAAAACTAACTTTTCAGACAATTTCATCAGTTGGTAGTGCGACAACATTAAGTTAAACTAACTCAACCAGAGCTTTCAATCTAATTATAATTTCTTCATAGATAGCTTAGTATGGTTTTCTTTGTATCAAATTATATTTTGACAATGTAGCTATGTTTGATCATAATTTCTAGCCTGACTAAGATAGCTCTCATCTGTCTACGTTTGTTCTTTTAAGGAATAATTAGCAATCAACTATAATTCTAATAATTTTGGTCGCATTTTTCCCGCAATTGAAATAGAGCGAATGCTTTAGAGTTGAAGAAGTACTATGCAATCCGATTGTATAAGGGTCTTTCTACTTCCTATCTTTTTACATAATAGATGATAATTTTAACATTTCGACCCGTTCCTGCAAGATCACTCTACATCAGTAGTTATTTCTTACATGTCCTAAAGGTTTCATTACTTTAGCATTGTTCATTCCAAAGACTAATGATGGCTTACTTTTATTTTGAACAGCTATTGAATTCTATTTAATTTTATGATGATCTTTAATACTGAAAAGTGATATCTGCTGCCTTAATCCGTTCGAATTCTTGACTTGGACTCATAGTCTATGAGAATCGCATTATATATTTCTTGTTTATGATAGCATAAACCAGGGTATTTCTCGTCACTGGATTCGTACCATGGCAATTGATTTAGTACTATGATAATAATCATTAAACTACTAATAGCATTTCAAATACAAGTCACTTTCTTGCCTATTATTTTTGCAAAGAGTCTGGACGTACATGAGCCGAAAAACCATATCATAAATACGTTTGAGGCCTTTACTTTATGAAACAGGGATTGATCTAAAGCTGCTTCAAGTTTAAAATGCATATTCCCTTTTTCCCAATAATTAAAGAAATGTTTATTTGGATTAAATTCCAGACGAGGGAAAATCATATAAATTCTGAAGATTATGCGCGAATTGCGTGAACGATAAACATGAATGCCTTAATTTTAGATAACCTAACTAGGAGCGATCTCTTTAAGTTAGATCAGTCAAATTCATGTTACATTCGCTTTTTTCCCCGAGAAAGATCTGCGTCCCGAGGCAGTTATTAGTTAAACCTCTCAAGTACACCGTCTTTCTAAATTAAGCTTCCGTTTTGTTCATCATTTAGCCAATAAAAAGGAGGGGGGAGGGGTGTAGGGGAGTCGGTACATAGACTTTGTAAGCCAAGATCAATATATCCACCCTTGCAATTGAGTTTGTGTTTGGCTCTGTTTGTTTAAATCAGCCGTAAAATTGTGAGCACAACTTTTAAAAAATGTAAACAGGTGAACTAATTCATTTTTTAAATGAGCATGATTTGATCAATAGAGTCTTTATCAATATGCGCTCATTAACTCGGTAAAAGGTTATTCTTTTACATGTAAAACAACCTGCAACATTTCGTCTTATAAATTCAAGCCAGAGATGTTAGTGGGGCTCCTACTGTCACATTCATTGATCGAATTTTGACGATCCTATGTTAACTTGTGTTCATAAATGACCAGATCTGTATCAATGACCAGTTTTAATTCTGAAATCCGTGTCCATCACAAGAACGTCTCCAGGCAATTCTGATCGATTTTCATAATTTTCTCATTATTGCTCTTCAATTCTTTTATTTAAAAATATACTGAAAAAAAGAAGGAAATATCAATGATTATTTTATTTATAAGAAGTAAGTGCAACTCTTGAACTCAGTTCTTAGCGAGTCTTCTATTTGTTTGAAAAAAATTTTTAAGGGGACTTTTAATTTAATTATTATCAAAAATAACCTAGTGGCGGAGAGGATCTGGTTCGTATCCCACTTAAAGTGCGATTGAATTTAGATCAAAAGCACGGGCCTGCGCGCTTTTGCTTAAATCTCAGATTAGATAAGAATTTGAGCTGTTCTTGGATTTTAATAAAATGCATAACATTAACAATAATTATGGAAGGTAGGCAGAAATGACAGCAGAGTGCTTACAATTAAAATTGTGTTTGGAGAGAGAGTAGGCAGAAGTGGATTTTGAGTAAATTGACAACTAATGACCATACGAGGGTAAATAAAATATTTATACTTGAATTTTTAACCAACAGTAGTCTTATCAGTTCAAACTCACATCGTTATAGAGCAGTTAAAAGGAGATAAGAATTTTATCAGCGAGACGGACCAACACTGGCAATATCTGGATAAGTAAATTGTGAAATTTTGTTTAGTTTGAAATATGGGGTAGTTAAATGATAATTTTAGCAGTCATGCTAAATTTTGAACCGAGAAATGTCTGAAATTAAGTAAATTTAAAAGGTGCTCTTATTTATTATTGAATTTTGCTTCGTAGAGTGCAGCTCGAATTTCTCTTCACCTTCGTGATAATACTTATTTTTGAGGTGTATTTTATCTCACAGCAAAATGTATTCCTTAATGCATCTGATTTTGCCTCATTGCTGAAAAATGCAAAAGTTTTAGCTTTGCACAAATAAACTTTATTTTCTAATTTAAGCTTTCTACGATGCATTTGTGTGAGTTACAAGGCACCACATTATTGTTTAAATTCTATTCAAATAAATCATGATTCTTGCAATAAATGATAGTTAAGATCTTACTTTTGAATTCATAGAATTCAATATGCCTCTTTAGATTACAATAGACTAAACGATACGGCTTGGATTACAGTTGCAGAAGACAAGACAAATCTATTTGGACTTCCGTTGCAAAGTCACGCACGCAAAGATGCCTATCGTTTCTGGTAAGTAGTCAAATTTGGCGCTCTCAACAAACTGTCTTACCCTAGGTTTGTAAATCCACAAAAAATGTGCCTTGATAATAGCGATATGCATTATACATAGCGCAACATAAGTTGGAATCCAAATGGGCAATGAAGTGAAGCCATACACACATTTTCCTATTTATCGTTGGGCATTTTGCCTCATAGATAAAAAGCCTATCAGCTGGAGATCAAGGCTTTTACCTCATATCAAAGCAAGTACTCCCCGTTATGCATTAGCTATCCGATATACATAATCAAATAAGCGTATTTTGTTTTGTAAAATTCACATCATTCGGAAGAGCTTTAAAATGAAAAATGTAATATTCTCAGGCATCTCCCCACATTTCCAACCATGCCATTATACAGCAATTGTAAATTTTTCAAGAATTACTTTGTAAACAAATAACTTGAAGTGAGCTATTTATCAAGAGCTTAAATTACTATTTAATTTCACTAAATGTTTAAACTAGTCCTTAAAATCACTCACCTATTACATTAAATCTTTTTCTATAAATATGAATATGCGTGTTTTTTTTGAAATAGGCAATGCACTTACAGACAGTTAATTCAATCTAACTGTATTTTGATGCAGTAATTTATAAATTGCTTACAATTATTACGTTTTCACTTCATCCGTCAAACTGACCTTTGTTGTTAATTAATCAGATTATCAAACAGGCTCACATTTTATTATCTGAAAAGGTGCTCATCTCTATTTGTAATATGCACTCTAAATATTGAATTTTAACAAATAGGGTCTAATTTAATCTTAAATATAAAATCAATAGTAGTTTCGTAAATTAGATGGATCTTTATGAGATTAGCACTTTATATTGCAGAATGTTCACTTCATTCTGCTCTTATTTTTTAATAAATTTGAGCACAATTGATTTTATTTCATTGATTTGATCGAGAATGAAGCTTTCGTTTAAAACGATAACCTGGACACCAATTTAAGCCACACTGAGCTTAACCCATGATTCCCAAAGTGATGATAAATGAATCCAGTATTAATAGAAAGTCAGAAATTGTCACTGATCAGAAATATTGCAGTTAACTTGATGGCCTGTTCACCAATGAACAAATAGAGTGCATCGTATCGCGGTGTCCTATGGCCACAGATGTTAATTCAGAAATTAAAAATTTTGTAAATCATTTTATAAGCTTTAAGCAGTAGGTGCACACTCTATGAATTGATTCGATGGTTTCTATTAAGTTGCATCCGTAAATGATATGGGAAAGAGGTCAGCCTAGGTTCTGTGATAGTTAATCTTTTCTTAAAAATTCTTAATATCAAACCCTCTGCCTATTTCACTGAGGTAAGAGGATGGAGAGGCGTCAAAACGGTAGAGAACAGAATTTGAAGGTGGGGAAATGGCATTAATAGAGATAGTGCAGATAGCGGATTAGTGAGTGCATATGGAACCAGATGGGGGTGGGAGTGGGGTGGGGGGTTTAAATTTTGGTCGGGCGAGATAACCTGGAGAGATGGAAGTTTGTGGGGTCTGTTTAGTTTTGAAAATCAAAATAAATCCAAGATCACTAAAAAATAATGTGCTTACTTCAAACACTCGAGGTCATCCGGGAATGAAGCATTTGCACCAGTTCCAACATTTTACGGACCAGTTTACAATTCAGAAAAGATTTGGCTAATTTTACCTTTGCAAATGAACGCACAATCTGCATTTATACTCAGTCATGTTGCATATTGAAAGAAAGTATAGTTAGCGCACAGCAAATATATATATGTATATGTTCAGTGCAAAAGTTATGGGTCATGCACAACGGTTTAATGGATTTCAGCGATAATTAAAGGTTATTATAGCAATTAAAAAGATGCATAGCGCATGTACTTAATCTATGATGAAAAAACCAGCATCTTTATCCAAGTTTTTTTGAAAAAATCCTTATTGTGAGTTGGCAAGCGAGGCTGTTTTGTTTAAATGAAACTTTTAAAACAAAATAGATTTAATTTTTTTGTTACCTGCCAAAATAAAAAAATAAATTTTTCATCCTATGTGAATTAGCAGTTGCAAAGTTATTTCAATTCTACACTGCAATTAACTCATCAACCGGATTTAAAATTTTACAAGGACAAAAAAGGACCTTTTGAGAGGAACTATTTGCTTTAAATTTGAAATATATGTATATGAAAAGTGTCGAGGAATAAGATGAAGGTCATTTTTTACATTCATTTCAAACGTAGCCTCATATGGTATAATTTGAAAGTTGATGACGTTAGGTTCTTATTGGTCTATTAATATAACTAGTGGATAAATATTAAACAAGGAATGCCACAAGTTTTCAAAATATTTCTTCAAACAGCAAAAATCTATTTCCTGAATATGGATTCAAATAATGTCCTTTGGATTTGAAAAAATTTCTGGAATACCTCTTAATTGTCGAGTTGACGGCTTATCAGTGCGTAAAGAGGCTTAAAAGCAGTTATTTCACGTATAAAAATTGCACTTTTAAGAAAGTGCAATCATGAAGTTGTTCATGCTTGAACGACAGTAAATAGACAAAGGTGCCTCTAAGCCCACTTGTATGTTCCTATTGTCTATTTGCGATTGAAGCGAAGATCGACTTTTTGCCAGTTATTTCTGTCAAGGATTTGAAAATTCCTAATGTCAACGGAGACACGCAAAAAATTTTCCTCATTGCGTAATGTCAGTTACCAAACTCCTCAAATCCAAATGAACGCAGCTGAAGCTTATATATATTTGTTTCTTCAATCAAGCACGCTTTCAAAATTCATTCGGCTACTGAACACCATGAAGCACAATATTAGTCTTCCTAATATGATTAAAATTCCAAAAGTGGTTATAAAGGGTCGATCACAAAATTTGTCCAGCATCATGTAAATCTGAGTGGTTGGATGCTTATATCCCTTCGCAATTTCAAAAGCGCTGATATGATGATAATATTCACACAAAAATGCTAGTAGGAGATATAACATACCGAAGAATAAGATAGAATAACATCGACTTATTCAAGAGAAAAGTGATTCGATGAGATATATTAATAATACACCATGGGGGTTGTACGTTGATACATGTATTTATTATATGCTTGGCGAAGGTGTTTGTGCTGAAATTAAGAATGTGGTTCACTTGATCCTCATTTTCTGCAATGAATTCTAAGATTGCCATGAAAAAGCTTCAATTTTAGAATGTCATAGTCTTGCCAACAATAGTATGATAGTGTACCAGGTTAATCACCACGTTTATGTAAATGAATAAGATTTTATGGTGATAGGTAGATAGAGAGGTCAAATAGAATGGTGTAGGAGAAGGAGATGTAAATTGTGCAAGGCTGACTGAAACGTCTCTGACTAAAAGAGTTGAAAGGTGGAGATAGCAGATTTAATGTGTGATAGAGAACAGGAAGTGTCAGGGTCCTTCTAAGAGCATAATCACCCCGGGGTAAGTATGAATGCTTAATTGAAATGCTGGCGAACTACAAGATTGAAGTTAACGAATGGGCAGAAAGAAGTTTGGAAAAAAAGGAAAATAATTATCAGATAGTCATTTCAATTTTCACTGCAGTTTTGACTGGCTCGTCGTTTCAATTCAATATGTTTTTGACATTTGTCACATGAACACATCAGGCTTCTGCTGACCTTTAGTAGTAAAAGTATGAAAACTGAATTGAACTCAGAGGTACCCCGGCTCCCAATATTGGATGAATTTTCTTGGCGGGACGGCAACATGATAATGGCCGACCTCCTATCTGGTTAGCACCCTAGCTTTAAATATAAAAAACCACTCTTCAATTTACGTTTTTCTTCAAATTTAGGCTGAGCATTTTGACAGTGGATCAGCGAACTCCGTTAAATATTCACTTCACAGTTGACGTAGTCAAGTGGCCATTAGAGATGACAACTGCTCGTGGTAGATTTGGCTGGTATCCTCGACCGATTGCAATACTTAACCATCGTGTGAGAATGCGAATGAAACTTGGTGGAACAGTGGGTAGGGGAATATCACCCACCTACAATTGGCCTCCAACCTCTCCTGAAACCTCGCTATCCTATCGGTGGAATCTAGTTACAAATTTGGATAAGTATCTCCGATCTGAGTGTGGACCACATTGTGGAGTTGGCATCATGTTAGTGGACATTCAGCGTCAAGGTAAGATACAAATTAACATAAATGTTCAATGATTTCAATGAGTTTGGCTTGTAAAAGTCAGTGTGTTGAAGTATTTTATAGTGTCCGATTTAATGTCATACGATTTTCTTTGTGTGAATAATGTCTTAATTTTTTTAATTGAAAGTTCTTTTAGAATAAGCTTGGTTCATTATATTCACTTTACTAATTATTATATAAGATTCTTTATTTAATATTTTTTTTAAATATTATTGAGTATTATCTATACTAAAGCTTTAAAGTGGCATTACAACTAACGAAAGACATTTTACTATAGACTTAAGTGCGAAATAAATTTAACACATTTATTTCATATATCAATTTGAGTCATTGATCCAGGTAATCAATAAGCCAGCCAACAATATTTAGTTTCAAAAGGCTTAATGAGATTTATTGGTACTCATAAATATTTTTTAATTAGTTCGTGCCGTAAGTATTTAATGAAGAAAATGTTCCAGAAATGTAAACCAGATTACACAAATGGTGATAAAATGGATTGTCTTTAAATCTAAGGTCGTCCAATCAATACTACTGATTTCATCAAAGCAAAAAGTTTTAAAATTAAACGTTACGAATAAGTGAAACCACTAGAGAATGAAGTTTGTGGTGATAAAGATTGAAGCTCAGATATGTAGGTCTTTCTTCAGTTTATTAACAGAAGGAGATAATAAAAATTTCACTTAGTGAGCTTTAAGCGATTTTGCTTTCTCGGCGTCTAAATATGAGAGGCATTGCAATTGCTTTCTATGAATTTTTTCCCAGCTTAAACATATATTTTTATTAATTAAGCTTATAGTAAAAATATGCTGGTGGGCAAAACTTTAAAATGGTTGAATTCACCCAATTTTACTCAAAGTGGACTTCGATGCGTCAATGACAAATCTTCATACCAATATAAGATCTTTAAGTGTGACAGGACACTCTACTCTGCAGCTAATGGTGAACATTTGCACCATTTTGTAGATAAATTAACTTTTATTGATGATGAAAATCTCATCTGCGAATTAGTTGCCAGTTATCGACGAAAATGACAAAAATGAACAGTCGTTAACTTTGCTATATTCCAATTAGCTAAAATTAAATACATATTACTATTCTTCAATCAGATCAATCGGTAATTCAAGTCGAGTGGGCACTACTTCCTCTACTACAGGAAGGTTTGCGAGACAGTTTATTGAACTCATCATACGGCGGAACTCAGGTTCCAGCATGTCCCCAACGTTCCATACAAGAACTTCAACGAAAACTTCTAAAAGTTCCTCTTTATAATCGATTCTCATCGCTGTCTTCATCTGTACCCACTTCGCATCAGGAATACTTTACAGAAACAGAACTCAGACAAGCCTCGTGGTCAGCTCCTGCTCCACAGTTGGTTGAGCATCTCGACTGGGCTCGAATTGGAACAGTTTCTGTGATTGCCGTTGATCTGATTGGCAGTTGCTTCGCCCCTTACTGGAAGGGCGATGTCACGGCAAAGCAGTCAGATTTTTTGTCTGTTTTGAATATCACTACGTATATTGGTAGGTAACTAACAAAATGCCCTATGTTAACATATTACTTGGAGATTCCAAATCATCATAAAAATCCTCTACTATCAGTTGCTTGAACTTATTGTCTGAGGATGAGATTTCTCCCATATCCACTAACATCCATCATCAAGAGGTGTATTTAAATGAAGGATATCACGTATCGTACCAGGAAATTAAAAATGCTAAAAAGATGTAGAAGCCGAATTGCTTAGTCAAGATCGAGGTTATGGACCCATTTTTAAATTTATTCAAAGTCTCCAGCTCTTCCAACTTTTACAAAATATTCAACGGTTGGTTCATGTTTTTGAGACTACTTTAATCGATTGTTATCTCTGCCCCCCCCCCCAGTTGTCATAATACACTGAATTTTTCCCTGTGAACCAAGATAGGAGAACGACGTATTGCCACTTCGAAATAAAAAGGACTACAGAGTCTGCCCTTTGTGGCTACCTGGGAATGCATGTCAGCCATTTGAAAATGAGGACGTGCACTGTGACCTTGGGTTCCCGCAGATGATTATACTAGTGGTATCCAATGGAGTAAATTTATTGTCTTATGTTAAGTTTATCCTATTCGTTTCGTCCAAAGTGCACTAGTAACGTAGAAGAAAGTTATGTGAATAAATTTGGATTTTCTCCTTATTGTATAATAAAGACTTTTTAAACAAAACCAATTTCGCATATGGCATTTCCTCGTACATTCAGCTAATATAATTAGCATGAAATTTGATTTTACCGTTTTTTTAATAGTATTAAACTGGTGACATAAATATATATAGTCTGTCTGTGATTTGCAATGGATTGAAATTGTTACTATGATTGTTTTTGATTGTCGTATGCCAATTTTGGCATTGACTAGCCAAAGCCGCTGAGTATCAATTCACTGTCTATCTGCATTAAGTTACCGAATTGATAGTAAAATTGACACATATTCTTTTTCCTTTCCAACTTTAAATTTCATTAACGCACCAGTAGTCTTTTAAAGGTTGAGGTGGTGTTTGCATCACTTTCTTCCTTTCATTCTCCAGGTCTACTTTTTAAGGTTGCTTTTGAATGGACAATGCAGAGTTTGGTACACTAATCCTAAAGACAGTATTCATTTGAAAGTTCTAATTGTGCAACGAAAATGGAAATTGGGTTCTTCAAAGTGCCCTTTTTGTTTTGTAATCGTTAAAATTCCGTGGGTGGACCAAAATAGGTGAATTTGAACATTTCACTAAATAAACAAGGTAATTAAGTAGACCGAGCGAATTCACGAGAAAGTTTTATTGAATTGGAATGATTCACTAAAGATTTTTGAGATGAGCACAATTAGAGCAGAATGTATCCAACCGCTTGAAAAAATTCCTACTTGGTCAAATTGATTTTGTCTGTTTGTTATGGTCTTCACAAAATTTATTTACGTCATATATAAGTGTCTTCACTTCTCAATCTACCATTGAAATTATTCTACTTACTAGTCAATAAATTAATTCGAAATAAAACATCTTACAGCCGGATTTTGCCATCCATTCGTTCAAAATTATTCATTTAATTAACAAATCTAAAAAGGATTTCCAATTAATAAGTTATTTTGTAATCTAATGGTTATTTCGTTTTTTAGGTTTAAAGCTATAAACAATAGAGGGTTAAGAGGAAGATTTATTTAGATGATAAGCTAATATTTGCTAGTTATGCATACAAGCTAAATTTCAACTATTTGTGTAAATAGGCTATCAATTCGTTTCTAGCATTTTCTGCCTGCGATCACCGGACGAATGTTGTAAATAACTAGATTACCTTAGCTACGTATTCCATATATTCAACCATCTATATAATTGCTTAAGAGATAATATTAAAAACTTAAATGCCATCAAATAATTTTTCAATTTGTTTCATTTTATTTAAGCATGTTTGAATCTCAAAATAATACTTCTAAGAAGAGAAATGACAGTTAAGATGAAATAGCAAACTCATTCCAAATGTGGTCACTTGATATCTAACAGCAGAAAAATAAGTGATTTTTGTTAGAGCTGTTGCGTTCTTTTACATTACATAATTGATAAGTAACCATCCGTTAAACCTATGTCATTGCCAAATTTATTCATTTAGGAAAAGTTATACCTTCAGGGATTCTTAGTGACCAGGTATTTATCCAGGCGTTTTGGGAAGTTTTGCAGTTTGGCAAAATACCATTCTTGCATATTCTGACGCAAGGCTCTATTTTTTGTCTCAAATCAGCGTTACAAAAATCAATAAAACCTAATTAAAATAAATCAATCAAGTGTAATTTCTATTGTCCGTGACATGGGAATTAGCTGTAACTCATTTTGAAACATTGGGGAAAAATCTATTAATGCAAAATCCAAAAAAATGTTTTCCTAAGCCATGAAGTGACTCGATGGGCTATAGGCGAAGAATGAATCAGAGCGCCATAGTCTAGAAATTTGTTCAAATTTTCTACTGGAGTGCCACTCATTAAAAAGTGGACCATTGTTGAAAAGCTTTGAGTTAGTGTGTTATTTTTAGGCGAGAGAAAATTCTTTGAGCAAAGGAGAACTCGAACATTTAATTTAGAGACGCATTGCAAAAACCCATGTGATTGGTCGGAATGTGTGAATGTATCAGATTGTTCAACTTTACATCAAGGTTGAATTACAATATTTATTAGATGAAAGTTGCGCATCTTTATCCAATCGAACTTGATTTTGCGAGCGTTTGCTATTCATTCTCAAATTTAAATTATTTTTTTTGCATAAATGTGCCTAATTTTGTGGTCGTTAATTTGCATTGATTTGGGGAAAAGCCTGTTTTAAAGGCATTTGCGTGATTTTATTTAGGCTAAAATATGTCGATGAACTCAAATTATATGCATTTTGCAAAATTATTTCTGTTTGCCAAAAAGCAGGAGATTGCTCAATTCTTCACTATTCCCGAGGAGATTAGTGCTCTAAACCTGCTTCCTTAGCATATAGTGTCTTGTTAAATGTGGTTGCACAAAGGTGTACGCATGGATGTGTTCTCTTCTTATTAAGAACTCGGTTGCTCTCAAACTAGAGCGCACTGGCTTTGGACCAATCCTGATTTTCACTAGGAGGTCCCAAAAAACCAATTATTTAAAATTGGGGTTCCATAAACAAATAACATTTATCAAGAGCCGCTGTGCAAAAACTTAAATACATTTATTCAAAAAGATGAATTCAACAAATCATTGCTACTAATTCATAAAATTAACATATTTGTTAAAATATTGCAGGTTTGTTGGTTTTCATAATTATGAATTAAAACTAACTTCTAATGTAATTGCTTGCAATTATTGAATGTTAATATATTTGATAATTTATGAGTTTCCTAGAGTTAAAAGAGACCATGGATTATCCTAATTTTCTCCGGTTCAATTTACAATTATTCATTGTTAAAACGCATCGTAAATTCGCCCAGTTGGCTTAAAATGACGATTGGTGATACGGCTGCATGAACCATTTTCGAACATTTCACATCAAACAAAACTGATAACGATAGTTAATTCAAAGCTCAATTTCAACAGAAAGAAACATATTTTTGGTTAAATTTTAAAGCAAATCGCTTTTGGCTATCTCACTGTGAATTTATTTTATCAAGTGAATTTTCCCTGTATTCTCTTTATAATTTGCTGAACGAAGGAACAATATAAATTTTTATTATTCTAAATGTTTATTGGATTGGTCCCTATTTCTTCATACTGAGTAGTTCATATTGACATTATTAACCAGGTTAATGTAAGATAAATATTGAATAAGAATAAATGAATAATTATTTGTGTTGTCAATTTCGTAAATTGTTAAAACAACGAAACTTCCTAAAAATTCTCAAAAATGGAAAAAAATCATTTTTACAGAATTCTGGAGCTTCACTAACATACTTTTCATTCACAAGTATTTATCACGACTTCACTAGAATCTTCGACTCTATTTCTAGATGAGAATAAAATTTATGATTATACTGAATATTTTGAATCATATTCACTGTTAAATATTGAATTAAAAATTATTTACATTAATGAAATTTTGACCATATTTATGATCTTCATGTTCTAGTTAATTTGTTATATCTCGAGTAATAAAGTAAGACGCTCAAGTACTAATTTATAACTTTTAACTTTTTTAACTAAAAAATTAAAAAAAACGATTTTCTTTTATTGGCTTTGTTTTACTCAAAAATAATCTTCATCATATGCCCTCTTAGAGTGATTAAGATTAATCGATATCGGGACGTATGCCGATTGGTGGAATACTAGCATAACAAACATTTCTCCTTGTTATGTCCAAACATTATCTATTCTATTAAATCATTTCACTTCGCATATATCATTTTAGCATACATTTGTGCTGATTTGGATTATGAATCAAAGTATTATTTTACTTTAGATAATTAACGACATTTGCAGGTATTTTTAACGTTTTCAACAAACTTCGTCCATTTTGATGGAATAATAGTAATTTCTAGCATTTTAAGAATGATGAAAGAAATTTCTATGTGACTTCTTAAGTCGTTCGAATCTAGGGCAATTAAAAAATTTTTTCTTTATATTTCCCAGTTACTTTGTGCATTGCATCAGTTTTCCTGACCGATCAGAATTGGCCTTTGTCAGTTTTCCTAAACCGCTTAACTTCTGTCTGGAAAAACATTATTAATTTAGCGGTCTAGACTTGAAAACCATCAATTAAATGATAATTGGGACTTAGCATGTACGCTATTCAAAATTGAGTGAAATTAGCCAATTTGTGGTCTTGACTTAAAGGAGGGATTCTCAAATCGAACTTAAACTTACAAATAATGATATTCCGACAAAATATCCATGTACTAAAATGCAATAAAGACTCCTCAAAGTTCTTTTATTGATACTTCGCGTTAAAAATCGTTGGACCATTATTCATTTGCTTTTCACTCCATAACTTCCGCTCTAAATTCAGGATTTAGTTCAGTGAATTTTGTAGCTTAAAAACTTTCGTCTCCATTGACATTCAATTCAAGAAAGTCCA